TGTATACATAAAGGGTAAATGATCCAAACCTCATGACCAAAGGTGAGGGTTGGAAGGTAGACAGACCAGTAAATGGAACTCTTTGCCTTTCGACGCAGCTGCCATTTCACCGTGACAGACCGAAGCAATGCCGTCATTACTGAGGATTAGGCCCCTCCAGTCTGTGGCTACACCACTCGTGAACAAGCTTCCCAGATTGGTGAACTCCTCCACCTAGTGTTGTAGTACTCGAGACCGGTCTTGGTCTTGAGACTGGGCTCAAGACCACTTTTGAATGGTCTCGGTCTTGTCTCAGACTTGACCGCATTTGGTCTCGGTCTTGTCTTGGACATTGAGGACTCGGGATTTTATTTCAAGTCAGTCAAGACCACAACTGTGGAAATATCACTAAATTGCCAGAATATTGTCCAGTTTATTTGTTAACATCTTTGCTTTTCTTGGATGCAAAACGTACTGATTCAAATCCAAGCGATAACAAAACTCATTGCTAAATGCATGTTTTTGTTACCGCTGTCATACCCACCCCCTTCCACTCGCACGTGGTTCTGTACCTACAGAACAATACAGACAACAGAACGTAATGTCGCAACCAAGAGTGAAAGTAAACCGGCATGGATAATCTGTGAAAAGTTTGAGATCCAAGACTTGAGGTCTTGGTCTCGACATGGTCTTTCCCTCCCTCGATCTTGATCTCGACTTGGTCTCGGACCCCAAAAGACTTGGTCTCGTCTCGGTACACTCTGGTCTTGACTTGGTCTCAGGTTACGTGGTCTTGACTACAACACTACCTCCACCTGAAGCAAACTCCGCAGCTCATCTTTTAATAGCAACTAGAAAACACGAACACCTAAACCCCGTCCTGGCTTTTGATTGATTTTAAGTTTTTACTATTTTGTTTTTGTTTTTAAAGGACTGGCCTTGTCATATTGTCTAAATAAAGGTTGAAATATTCATGTGATCTTTTCAACGTCTACAAGTAAACCAACCAGTCTCTTAGATGTGCCCAGATCCAAACTGAAGTCCAGAGGTGATCAGGTTTATGCAGTTGCTGCTCCAACACAGTGGAACAGTTTACCTGATCATTTAAAGACCGCTGAGACTTTGAAATCTTTGCTCAAGACTCATCTTTTTCCCCTGGCGTCTGACCCAGGAAGTTTGACAGCAGACTTTTCTTCTTCTTGTGTGTTGTGTTCGTTTCCATTTTAATTTGACTAAATTGTAAAGCACTTTGGTCAACTTCAGCTGACGACGGCATACCATCCTGATTTATTTGTAATGAAGACAAGTTGGCGGCCATTTGCATGTCAAAAAGCCCAAAGACAATTGAGGATTACCACGGATGCATATAGCAACGCAGATGTTATTAACGCACCGAGGCTGACACCAGTGATCATTTATAGCTGTGTTGTATCACAGGGAGGTGCACGAGTGTTTGAGAGAAATGGAATGTGAATGGGATTAAAGAGGCGTCTCAAGCGATAGAAAACCTGGCGTTGTTTGGGGTCTGTTTTGATTAACGACTTTAGAGTTTAAAGTTTGACGTTCCGCTGAGTTTGCGTGATCAAATTTTCATGGTAACGCAGACCTGAAACAGACAAAACAGCTGTTTTTAGTAAGATTTTAATGTGTTGTCAGGGGAGGAACACCAGAGGGCTAATTTCAGCTGCTTAACCCATTGTTTATATCCAAATGTATACAGTGGTCCCTCATTTATCGC